TGTTCCTTATTTGTCGCTTAACACTATTGGAAATGGGTCGTCGGTGTCCTTCTCAGAAAATGAAGACTCGTGGCTTTAGGAGTTTGTGGGAATATCAATTTCATGCCTTTTGTTCTTTGTTTGTTGTGTTTGGATAAACTAGAAGATCATAAACACGACTTCTTGGATTGCAATGTGTCTTATTAGTTATGGGTGTAGTTGATCAATTGGTGTGATTTAGTTTTGTCGAATCGCAATTCCATTTGCAAAGTTTGCGACAAAATATATATGTTGCATTTATCTTCTGCTTAGAAGAATGCACATGAAGCCTTTTTTAACCATGTGATGGTTCGTGTGGAACTATTGCAATTTCATCACTTATGGTGCAAGGAACATGTGAAAAGACGAAGGAACATGTGAAAAGACTTACTTTTGGATTTTATAACGACGACTTCTTACAATTTGTAAGTATTTAGACATCGCAGGTTGAAGGTTAGGTGGGTGTTTTAGATGCAAAATCACATCATGTATATTGCCATGTAAAACGTTTCATAGCTCCTCAATAGTTTTTTATCTATAAATGTCAGCCATACACAAATTTAATTAAAAACATGCATATGTATATAATATAATTATAAATTATATATAAAACTTTTGTCTTAAGAAAACATTTAAAAAAAAAAAATAGTCCGTTATTACTCATAAAATTTGAGACTTGACATCACCATCACACTACATGCATTACACAAATTAAAACTTGGCTAACAACATATATATATTCAAAAAACCTTATGTTTAGTTTTTTTATATTAGATTAGATTAGATTAACTAATATCTACATTATCTAATTTAACATTTCTTGAAATTTAAGAGAGGTACAACACCTATTACATCATATACAACAATGTTATACTTATCATCTAATAAACATATAACGTATCCATTTTAGGAATCAACTCGGAATTCTAAACACTAATTTTGTTTCTTATATTTATTTCTAAAGCAACCTTTTCTCTCAATCAAATACTAAAAAACCCTAATCAGAGAGCCGTCGTTGTTTCCCTCATCCGGATCTACCTCCAAATCAGCACTCCTGTAAGAAGAAAAAAAACATAATCAAAACCCTTGCAACCAATGTAAGTCACTTTTAATATGATTGTGCATGTTTGTGTGTTCATCATCCCGTGAACCGAATGAGTGGAGTCATTCATCAATGTCAAACAATTTTGTGGATGATGTTGTCATTGTGAAACCCATGTTATGGCTTCATCACAATGTTTTCAAACCTATCTTGACCGGTTGACCCTTAATCTCTTTATCTGATTATTATTAGTTCATCATCAAAATGATTTTGATATTTTCGATTTTAATTTCAATTTCCGGTATGTCGGTGGCCTCATATTCATGTAACCAGGATACGATAAATACAAGTGTGTGTAGAGACGGAGGTGGATCATATAAATCACTCATTTTGAATCACCTGAATGATTTTCATGTCAAAAGAATTGGAGTGAAAACATCAAAGGTGTGCCCAAGTGGATCATATAAATCACTCATTTTGAATCACCTGTATGATTTTCAACCATTAAAATCGTTAGTTTTTTCATTATATGCTTCGTATTTTTGTTTATGTGTGTATGTTATTTAATTAGATCTTAACCTTAAAAGAGATGACTTTCGGAAAGGAGAAATTTCAAGCCAAGGAAGAGCCACAAAATGAGAACAAGGGCTTTTGGTAACTGGTTCTGAATTTCTGATGTTATGATTAGCACCTGATTTAGAATAATATTTTATTTTTATATTTCGAAATATTTTGTTTCTTTTTTTTAATAAGATAATTTGAACATTTCTTTTGCATATTAACTCACCTACGGCCACAGTATAGCTTGATATTTAGAAGTTTATGTCTGTGTTCGAGACTCATCATTTCTTTTGCATATTAAATTAGAAGACTTACACGTATATTGCTTTTAAAATCTTTACTGATTATTTGTAATACAAAATGGTTTATGTATCTATAGCTGAAATGGAAGTCCGATATGTATGTTCTCCAAGTATGTTACTATTTCTATATATAATGTTTCAACTGGGGAGTATGTATAATCTATTAACTTTAGTAAATTGTTTAGCTGGACTGTCTCAAATTTGAGTTCCTTTTACCCTTATTTTACAAGGAAACATTATTGATCTGGTGACTCCTCAACAGAAGATGATAGACACAACCACATGTCTTGACATTTGAACCTATATTAACTTTAGTAAATTGTTGTGGATTAGTTAAGCAGTTACACCAAAAAGGTTAATTAAAGGACATTACGTGATCCTTAAATATTCATCGTTTGAAGGGTAGTATTTTGTTGTGTAAAGTTTCCTATATTTCACAACTTTTAGTGCGGTCTCATTGTCTGTTGTTTCTTATGACTCATTTTTACTGGTCAAACAGGCAAGCATCAATTCAAATAGTTGGAAAAGATTGTGAATTTGTTGACATATGTTGGTGATTTTAGTGTTACCATGTCATTTTAAGTAACTGCAACTAACATGTGAGCTAAGGGGCTTCATAATTTGTACTATAATATATATATGGAGTAGTGCGGAGTGCACACATGTATAAGATCGAATTAGAAGCCGGTTCGACGAATAGTCGGGGGTCCAGGGCAGCGCCCCTAGGTCCGGGGTTTCCAAAGGGGCAGCGCCCCTTTGGCCCTAGTGGGGTCCAAGGAGCAAAGCCCCTCACCGAATTTTGCATGTGGGAACATAATGGAAAACCCAATTTTTTGAGGGTGATTATGGTAAAACTAACGAAACTCGTTAGTTTTGGTAACCCTAATCCGGATTAATATTACTTGCTTCCAATGTAACTAATGACGGCCCAACCCTAATCTTGTTTAATATATAAACATATCTTTTTATACAGAAGATGGTTACGTTCTTTAGCTCTCGGTTTTTCATCACACATTCACAGAACCCTTTAGCATATTGGCTTATGTTTTATGTACCTAGAAACGTAAGTGTCCACTTGGATTATCCTAGGCTGAATTTCTTATAACTCAGACATAGGGTAGAAATATCAGTTCGGAAAGTAATATCACGATCCAAGTTGGTATCCAGATTTCCACCACAAACCCTAATTCCCCAACAACATATTTGTAGAACAAAGTTGTATTTAATATCAAGGTAGCGTATTAATCAAAATTGGTGTCTTTTAAATTATTATTATTATTATTATTTTATATATATATATATATATATATATATATATATATATATATATATATATATATATATATGATTAAATGAGAACACTTAAAAGGTTGAGAACGCGAGAATAGTTGTAGACCAATCATTCCATAGGAGCGCAAAAGGAATTTTACAATATAATTAAATATGGATAATTAATTAATTCCTACAATCATGGGATATTGTCTAACTTTTTTGGAAACGGCAAATGAATTAACGGAAATCTCTACCTAATATTTAACAGAAGCCTCTACCCAATATTTCAGAGTAGACCCCGAGTTCGAGCTCCGCAAAGCGGACAAACCTAGCCCCATGAGGATTTCCAGGGAAAATTCCCCCACGTATGGGGCATATTTGCAAGAGACGCACAAATTATGCTTTACCGGATAGATGAAAATAAAACATATTTGTAATCATACGTGGGGGAAAATTCCCACAAATTATGCTTTACCGCACAAATTATGCTTTACCGGCAAATTTAAATGATTACAAATATGTTTTATTTTTGTATGATTACAAATATTCGGTTGAAATGCTTAATTCATCAATCTTGCATAATTTGTGCGTCTCTTGCAAAGTCAATCATGGCAAAGTCAATCTTTTTGATTGTACATCTATCCATTAATAATAACACAAAAAGTTACAATGTAATACATATCTTTTCTTCTATAATCACATATGAATAAAACATAAACAAAAACTAGAATAAAAATAATTAACTACTATTATATAATCATAAATGAATAAGTCAAGATCTTCTCCACTTTGTATTGTTTGGTTGTATATTAATACTCTAACATTCCGTTTTGTAGAAGCATCTCGATTTCCTCTACACACCGTCAAATAAAAGAAATAAATACAATTAACAATCAACATTCTGTTTCTTCAAAAATTGTCTGTTTGTGAAATTGGTGCTTTTCTCTTTAGCAGAGCATCCAAAACCTATAACAAATGTTATAATCTTCAATGAAATGTTATAATCATTAATGATTGAAACTCAAAGCTTACCTCTTGATCTTTATATCTAAAAAAACATAGTCCTAATCATGAACAATTAAAAGATAGAATGATGATTTTATCTTTTATACTGCTGCTGTGGGAGTGGGAGTGGGTTTGAGAAAAATTTCAACATTATCATGAACACCTTGAAGAAGTAATTCACCATCATATGTTAATAATTTACGCCTCTTCGCTGCTGTCAATGTCCCAACCAATGCTTCAAATATGTTCGCACATCTATCATCGTTGAATAGCACACCAAATGTCACCTTCATCAACATTCAACAAATTTAATGACAATAAATCAGATGAAAAATCGAACTTTATTATCGAGAAACAGATATGACAAGATCGAATTGCAAAACATTAGGCGCTCGGCTGCTCGGGATCTAATATCCATTGGTATATTGTTAAATCTCAAGGTTTTAAACATGGCCAATTTCAGCTCATTATATAGATCGAAGCCCTAAATTATCAGATTGTTCAATATTGTATTAGATCGCGAATGAAGTTCATCACAAATCGGCGATAGTCAGAGGTATGAGACTAGATCCATACCAATTTTCCAATATGAAACATTATTATGTAAATCCAGAAGTATGAGGCGGATTTAGAGGAATTTTCTCCGAAAATTGAGGGGAAAAGAAAATTACCTTGTAAGATCCATCGTCTTGCTTACTGCCGAGTCTTTGGATCGCTACTTTGAGTTTTTCAACTTCTTCTTCTACATTCATGACTGTGTTTTAGCTTTTTTGGGTTTTAGGTGTTTATCACGTTGAGAGTTATTCTCCTTGAGTATATATATCGACGGTGAATACATCGACTGTGTAGGAAATCAACAAAAAAAAAAGATTTTACATAACTATGAAATCAGTTTCTGGAAAAGAAATTAACAAAGACTGCAGACTCAAAAGTCCCAAAATTACTTGCTATATTTTTATCCGATTCAAGGGACAAGTAGGCTTCAACCCGATTGGGAGCTGCGACGAAACCCACTGCCTAAAATTGAACATTAACCCTATTTCTGCCGGAATCGAATCAAACCCACAAGCTGAGATCACCAAACTACCTTTCTCCATCGCCTTCTCATGGTACACGACTTCCATCCTCTCCATGAACTCCGACTCACCTGAAATATCCAGGTAATCGCACCCCGCTTCAACACAGGCAGCGACGACAGGCTCACCGTAAAGGCGACAAGGTCCAACGTAATCGAGGACGAGCTTAGCTTCCCTCCAAACACCCCCTGTTGTCGTTTCCTCCCCCTCTCCGTTCGTGAATCCTCTCCTTTTGATCAAAAGCAATTCAGAGATCCTATTTCCCTTTCCTCTGTTTTGGCTTCATTGATTATAATCTATCTCACCATTCTTTTCCCTTTTTTGGTGGATCGATGATGTAGGGTAGAGGCGTACCTAGGTTTACAGAGAGAGAAGGGAAATAGGCGAGTGATTGAGGAATGTTAGGAATTAAATAGCGGTGGCAAAGGTCCAATTACTATAATACCCTTATCACCATTTGAAGTTACACTTTAATACTTGTAACTTTTAAAATTTTACATAAATGGTCTATTCATTATTAACCTTAGATTTAGTTTTTTAAATTGTTCAGATCTGTTCTCGCGTTCTCAACATTTTCGGTATTTGTTGGAATATTGTCTAAGGCTGCAATTATATTAAGCAAGTATTTGACACGATTGAGCATGGTCCTTTTGGGTTGCCTTCACCATAGCAACTTGATAGGATGATTTACAATGAGAGTTGAAATATCATAAGGAATAATAATATTGTTATTTGATTAATATAAGTCATAAATTAATTAGGAATTAATTTGGTGACTTAAGGAGATTAATTAAATAGAAGGGCATAAACTGTCAGGTGTATGATAGTTATACTTTAGGCTATAATCCCTTATGGATAATGAGGTGGACGATTTTAGGGGCTTAGGATAGACCTAAAATCCATCCAAGGCTTATCATGAAAGGGATTAGGATTGCTTAGCGCCTAAGTTATCCAATTAAGGTTTAAAGGTAAAACCCTAGGAGCCTTAGAAGTATAAATAGACCCTAGGGGTCATGGAAATCGGCACCTCTTGTCTCTAAAGAAACCCTGGATGATTTCTAAGTCCCTCCCCACTCTCAAATCATCCTCTTGCTATTTGGTGTTTGTAAGCCATTAGAGGAGTGACAATTGTGACTCTAAAGCTCCAAGGACAAGAAGATCAAACAAGTGATTCAAAGTAAACTTATAACTCTAATTTCTCTTTGTTATTATGCTAGAATAACTATTAGGAGTCTTGGATTCATGCATGTTCAATTAGAGAAACCTAGATCCAAGCATTAGGGTTTGTATGTGCACATAGGAATGTTCATATGGCCAAAACTCATCAGTGGTATCAGAGCCTAGATTGGTTTCTATTGAATTGATGCATTGGTTGCTTGTTTGATGCTTGCAAAATTCGAATTTTGTGTTCCTGCCTGATGAACTCGGCGAGTCCCATAGTGTACTCGGCAAGTAGGCCTCAACTCGGCGAGTCCATTGTGGTACTCGGCGAGTTCGAGCGTCAGAAAGAGCTAATTTCAGGATTTCTTGTTGTTTATCCTTTGGATACTTACCTTAATCATATTAGGTCAATATAAATCCGATTTTAAGATATATTTGAGTATATCCTTGACCTAATTGAAGATATTTATCAATTAATTAAATATTAGTTTCCTTATGTGATAATTGATTAATTATTTTAATTAAATTGGTAAATTGTTTTGCAAGAAATAATTAAATAAATCAAATATGGATAATTATGTGATTAAATGTTAATTTAGATTATTTGTTATTTGATCCTCTATGTTTTGAAAAGTTTAAAACATGCCTTCAAGTTTTGAAATTTATGTTTTGTGATTAAAAGTTTAATTTGGACAATTTAAATTTCAAACCCTAGAATTTTACAAGTTTAAAATTCAACCCTATACTAATATAATATTACAAGATTAATATATATATATATATATATATATATATATATATATATATATATATATAATTAAAATGCTAGTCTTACCGTTAGTAGGCCTCATTCACGAAGCCGGTCTATAAGGTGGGTATAAGGTTGCTGCCTATAAAATGGCGCTTAATGGGTGTACACTCACACCCACCGCTTGCTTGATCGGTGGAGGGTCGTTAGCCGAACGGGTAGGATAGGGCAACCTCATCTCCTCATTAAAAGTATAATATGAAATACAAAGTAACTACATGTTTTTCAAAATTCCCAATCCTAGTTACTTTAGGAAAAGTGAATTGATGCAATCCCATGAAATTACACTTTGCACCCTTGCTAAGAAGTTAGTGGAGCGTGTGTGGTTTACCGGCACACTAATTGGTTCTAAGCAAAGGTGGCAAAGGGTGATTCATTGTTTATCATAGTTCGATGGAGCGTGTGTGGTTTACCGGCACATCGAATAGGTGATTGTTACAATGAAGGCACCATGTGAATTTGCATGGTAATTCACACCCACTTTGTGATCCTCGGTATCCCAGTCACAAACGAGAGGGGCATATCGAGATTTAAACATGCCATTGAAAAGTTTCAATGAATCTCATCCAAACCTAGGAATTCTCAATACATTTAGAACTTAAAGTTATGTTTTCATGGTGGAGAATTAGTGAATCGTCATTCACTTACCTTCAAATTGTTTGCATGTTAGATTACGGCATCCCTTTTCTAATATGTAAATATTGTTGTTGGATCCTAGCCCTAATTTTCTTATTGGGTGATAATTAGGGATCCAAATTCTAATCTATCTTTGTCCTTTCTATTTGTAGATGTCGAACGCGAACAACGCTGCTGCTAGCTCGTTCACATTGATGAGCCTTTGCCAAAAGGTGACTTTCGATGGAACGAACTTTAGCGAATGGATAAGATACATTCGCACGATTGCTCGCTACGAGGACAAGGAGTATGTCCTCGATGAGAAGCTCGAGAAGATCAATCCTGAAATCGCTACTCCGGCTGAAATCACCGCTTTTGAAACTCATGAGCGTGATGCAACGAAGGTTCATTGCATCATGATAGCCACTATGAACTCCGAATTCCAAAAGTCCTACGAGGACATGTATCCGTACGAAATGCACCAAGACTTGTTGGAGAGATACCACCAAAACGCGAGGCAAGAACGTTACGAGATCTTCACTAACATGATCTCCGCTAAATGGGTCATGGTGAATCTCTAACCGTGCACCTGCAAAAGATGCAAAGGTATGTCGATCGTCTTCGCAAGTTGAATGTTGACTTTGGGGAAGACTTGGCAATCGACATGGTGCTTCACTCATTGCCTCCGTGTTACAACCAATTTAGGATGACCTACCACATGAACAAAGAAGAGGTCACCCTAAGTAAGCTCCAAGGTCTCCTTAGGGTTGCTGAGAGCAATCTCAAGGACAAGTCCGTTGCACCCACTCCCAATCCACCCGTGCTCCTGTTTTGGCCATTGGGCAAGGAAGAGGCAAGAAGAGGAAGGCTCCGTCTAAGAGCCACCGCAAGGGAAAGTCCCGAGATGGTTCCTCCTCTAGTGGGACCAAAGTTGATCCCGCTAAGCCTACTCTAACCCAAAGGAGGCAGAGTGCCACCATTGCCACAAAATAGGGCATTGGAAGAGAAGCTGCCCAGAGTACCTGCAAGCTATCAAGGAAGGAAAGATCAAGCCGTCTTTCGCAGGTATATATACAATTAAATCTAATGATTCATCTCATGCTATTTCTTGGGTCCTCGATACCGGGTGTGGTTACCACATTTGTTCTGAATTGCAGGGACTAAGAAGAAATAGGGATGTGGAGCATGGAAGAATAAATCTAATCATGGGGAACAGAAGATCGTGCTGTGACCAAGATTGGAGTGTATTCTCTAGTGCTTAGGAATGGTTTATGTTTAGATTTGAACAATTGTTGCTATTCGCCAGAAATGGCAAGAAACATCATTTCATTTCATGGTTTGTTTAGACAAGGATTTAGATTTTCTTTTAATAATGAGAATGGTTCTATTTGTGCTTATCTAAATGGTGTCTTATATTTTGAAGCAATACCATGTAATGGAATTTATGAAACTGTTATGATTGTAGATAACCTAGGAAATGATGTTTTATGCATGGATTCTTCCAATAGTATGGATAGAGCATCCTTGTGGCATTCGTCATCTGGACATGTCAACAAGAAGCGCATAGCCCAACTCCAAAAGGATGGAGTGTTGGAGTCATTCGACCTTAGGGAAGATGACACATGCGAATCTTGTTTACTTGGAAAGATGACTAAGTCACCCTTCACTAGCACATGTGAAAGGGGTGAGGGTTTATTGGACCTCATACATACCGATGTATGTGGACCGTTTAGATCATCCACAAAGGATGGGAACCGTTTCTATGTGACTTTTACCGATGACTATAGTAGATATGGGTATATCTACTTAATCAAGAAAAAGTCAGAAACATTTGAAAAGTTCAAAGAGTTCAACAATGAAGTGCAGAATCAATTGGGCAGGAAAATCAAGATGCGTCGATCCGATCGAGGAGGAGAGTACCTAAGTATTGAATTCCACGACTATCTCAAGGAGTGTGGAATAGTTTCACAATTGACGCCACCTAGGACACCACAATTGAATGGTGTGTGTCACACCCCCAAACCAGAACGGCGGAAACGTTCGGGGCGGAGGACGTCATATTCAGTATCATAACAGTTCATAGAAAGGAAAGTACACACCACCATATATATTAAAGTTTCCAAGATGTTTACATAATTGTATTCATTACATGTTCAAAAGATAAATACATAAACATCATTCAAAAGAAGTAATTAACGCCAGCGCGTTAATCCCAAAAGTTGATTCCCAAACCTGCTTAGCGGTTCCCTGAGAATACAAGTTATTTCAAAGAAAAAGTGTCAACAATTAAGTTGGTGAGTTCATAAGTAGTTTAGAAAAATTGGATGCCATTCCAAAATGGGTGTATATTTTCCAGAAAACGCAGCATTTCAAATGTAAAGAGTTGTGATTTGTTGTGTTGAAAGTGAATGTATTAGATCCAGAAAATCCCATATTTTCCCTAATGGTTGAGATACGAGTTGTTGTGTTTTCCAAGAAAACCCTTATTTTCTTATAAAAGTATGAAATGCATATAAATGTTCGTGTTATAAGTTGTAAATAATTGCACCAGGAAAATCCCTTATTTTCCTATTAGTTGTTTGGTTTGTATGCAGGAGAAACCCTTATTTTCCTAACATAAATGGCAGTCTCTAAGACCGAAAATCGCAAGAAACCGACGTTCTCAAAGTTGTGTCATAGTTTTATATAATAAAACTATACGAAGATCGCATTTGTTAGATGAAGAATAGTTTTAATAGCTACTCGTTCATAAAAGCATAATACCATAATAATTGTATATCCGATGAGTTTTATAACCATACTAAACATAATATGCCTGTAACGACGTTCTTCAGGCGTCGCAGCGTTATGACAACTGTCACCCCAAAAGACGG